TCTCATGCACAGTGGGGTGCTCTCTCCTCCCATAACACTTTTAGCACGGCCTGTTACCAGCCTGGATGTTCTCATTGCTCAGATGTGTGCCCGGTCTGCCTTTAAACCTTGCTGTTTTCTTGTACTCTCTGACTTCCTCTGGCAATCAGTCCCTGGCTCTGCTTATTCACTGTGTGAAAATGGTTCCTCTTTATTGGTTTTGAATTCAGGGCTTCCCATTTTCATCATCTGTTTTCTTTTCTCCTGTCACAAAGGCTGGAAGAAGAGGGACTCCCAATCTATCGTCTCGCAGCTGGTCATTATTCTGCGGCCTTTTGTCACGTCTCTTTTTTTTCTTATTTCCCCATCTGCTCCTGACTCATTGCCCTTCAGGTACACATGCCAAATTTTGGGGACTTTCTCCCTGACAGTTTGCTCAGGCCCATCTCTATGCATGGTCAACTCTCCTCGGATCTTTTGTACTGGAAGAGGAGGCAGCAGCCCAGTGGGGGAGCCATGCCAGCTTACACAGGGGCACAGCGCCTTTCTCCACATTACTTCCATCCTGCCCTTCACAGCTCCCAACGTCTTGTCCGCTCTTCTGACTGTTGTTCCCCACTGAACAGCACTGAACTTGTATTGAGCTGTTTACCATGTCCTCAGTGAAGCGCCTGTCGTGACGCCTGGGGCTCTTGCCTGACCTGGTACAGCTACAGTAAGCCAAAGCCTAGAAGTATTTATGCAGTTTACATTTTCCCTCCAGCTATGTGACATTGGGAACAGTGATGCTGAATTTCATTTGCCTTCCTATTGCTGATGAGCACAGCTTTCTTATATGTCTCCAAAGCTCTCATCATTCTCTCATCTCCTGACAAATTTAAATAGCTTCATGTCGTCAACGTATTTGGCCTTCTTGCTGCTTACCTCCTTGAACACCAGTAGCTCATGTCTTAATTCAGATACTTTTGGGCCTTATTGCTGCCTCTGATGACAACTGGCAGTTTAATCCTCCTGCTCGCTTCCCACCCCAGGGCCAGTCTCAGGTGCACAGCAGAGCTGTCCCACTCGCCCCCATACAGGGTCAATCCATTGCCTTGGTTAGCCCTGCAGCTCCAAGGGCGCAAGGAGAAGGCACGAGCTGTTCGAAGATGCAAAACGCAAGCTGAGCGCTGGATTATTTACTGTAATGTGGGTACTCTTGCTTCATGACTCTTCACCAAGAACTGATGATATCTGGAGCCAGTTTGGCCAGAGGCATTCATGCAATTACGTACAGTTACACTACGAGATCTGGGTATGCAGTAGGCACCTCCACAACCATTGTAATACCTGTACTGGGTCCTGAAATGACTTTCTTTGTAATAGAGAGGACAGTGGTGGCTGAGGTGCATAACCTGCGTAGGTTAGAGTGACACCATCTACAAAGGCTACGAGGCCTCAGACATGGTTGTAGATAAATACAAATTCCACCAGCTCCGAGGCACTGAGAATGGTATCTGAAGCTTCACAGATGTTGCAATCTTGCTTTTTTAACCAGCAGAGCACCTCATGCAGATGAGCATTACTGACAAAATACAGGCACCAACAAAAGTGACAAGCATGGCCGTTGAGCTGTTTTGTTTGACAGAGCTCAAGGAAAAATGCTCAAAAGCCAGCTGCCATCAATGCAGAGAGAACTGCCTATGGCCACAGGAAGCTTTACTTCCCGAATGCTGCAAGATAAAGAATGGATCAGGGCAATGCTAGGAAGCAGGAAAATATTTCTGAACATTGAGGGAATCGAGATGGCACAAGGCAAATCAGTACAGCTGAAGTGGAAGAACCAAGAGTCTGTACAATAAAGCAAACAAATCTGGAAATCTGTCCCAGGTGGAGTCAATAAGGAGGAGCGGCAAAGAAAGCAAATGTCATACGAAGGAAAGAGACCTGATGTTTTCCCACAAGGATACAGCTACAAGGTGCAAAAATCAGATAAATATTTTCAATGTACCAGAAGCAGAAAGCTTGCAAAAAGCACAAGAAATTCAGTGGATTCCCTTTTGGCAGAGGGGAGCGGTAAAGGAAGGCAAAGAAGGTACTATGCATACAAATTCCTTTGCATCTGACACCTCCAAAAGGAATGTGAAGAGTATCTTTAATCCCAAATTAATCTTTTCTGATAAGAAAGACCTGCACTATCAGAAAAAAATCATGACTAGGTCCAGATGTTCTGCATCCAAGACTTCTGAGGCATTTCAAGTGAGAGGCTAAGTAAGCGCTAGCAAATAGCGTAACCTGACAAAGAAACAACTAGAAACAGCACCTCTATTGGGGTCTTGGTGCATTCTGCACAGCCTTTTGAAAATAATAAAAAATTAGAACCAGATTCGAATGATCTAGGACACTAAGGCACACGGAGTTTTATATCTGCTTGGCAAATTGGTAGGAACAGTATCAGCACCAGTTCTGTAAAAAAACCTCCGTGGTTCACTACTCTGCTTGGATTTCTTCAACTCTTTGATGCAACAGTGAATAAACCCCAAACATCTGGGATCATTCTTTTTGCCTTCCAAAGGCAGGAAA